TTTAGTAAACAAGGCTCCTTCTTTTGTGATTGCGGCGCAGGAGGATGTGCTGCTCTTAAAACCGCGTCATATCGTTGTTCAGCTATGAGTGCAGCCAGAGGGAGGACAGCTCCATCCGTGCACACGGTAATTTGAAAGGGTCTCTAGCATTCGCTGAGCATTATAGCTTCAGACGGTCGACAGTGGAACTAGCCAGCCAATCTCATTTTCGATTAATCTCGAATCTAACTTCGAAACAGCAGAAGTGGTGAATCTTCTGGTTGGTTGATTCTTTGAACAATAAATAAATATAATTTCAGTTCATGTAGTATAATTTCTTTGACCTTGTCAGGAAATCGTACTCTAAGGTTGACCAACAAAAATCTCGATGGGTGCACCGTGCTTTTAAAAGGCTAGATGATAATCTGTTTGCATAATTCATTTCAATATTCCTGCCTCATCTCTTCCTCTTACAAGCTAGTATCTTAAATCTTTCCCACAAACAGGTGGACGCACCTTCCTCACTTTTTTCTTCGTTCGTTCATGTCTCGCCGCGCGCAATTTGCCCACAGTATTCAGCTATTTGTTTCATTTGCAAATATCAGTTCGCATTCTAATTTTAGGGTAAGGTGCGGAACGGCCTTGAAAGTCGCCTTGAGGTCATTGAAAGAATCGTCCGTGCATCTTTGCATGCTCGCGATTCTCGGTGGTCCCTTGACGAACGCAGAGACAATGTGAGACGCTCCCTTGCTGATCCTCAACGTCTGAGAATGGTATATGACCAAGTTGTAATGGTAGGTATCAACACTCTTGCTTTGGAAGGTTCTGAGCATGTTGAATTAATTTCTTCGATTTGCTTTCTGGTAAATTTTGTAAAATATACGCTCCATACTCTATCTGTCTTTAATATACTAGTTGAAACTGATTACATTTAGCTGCCAATTTCACAAAACCGTATCACTATTTAGGAAGATTACGATGCAACAAAAACAAACGCTCTCATTGAACCCAGAAGACCACCAGAACCACCAAATGATAGGAACAAAGCCAGAGAAATTTGCCAAATCTTGCCATTCGGTAAATCTCAAGAAATATTAATTTACATCATCAAACACTTCCCATTGTCATAGTAGTTGTACCGATGATTGCAGAGAATGGATGCCACTTGTGGTTTATGCTTTCTGAGCATGCAACCACGCTACAGATTTTGTACATGCATCCTGGCCAAAGCCTTACAGACGAACTTGAGCATATGGTAGCTTCGGCGTCTCTAGTCACCGCTTTCATCCAAGATGTCACTTAAGTTTAATTTTTCTAGCGAATCGACTCCGAGCCTGTCGGCTTTGCTGGCCGTCAGGTTTCATGTCGTGACGATAAGGTGGCAGTTGCTGGACTTAACGATATTCTCACTCTTCGTTTGAGCAGTGATGGGGAGATTGTTGATCGCATGGTTATCAAGCTAGCCGAGCTTACTACAACACATAGCAATCCTATAGTGAAGGCTAGTCTTGACTTTGTCAGCTGCGCTCTGCACTAACGACAGGTTTGAAGGTTATCTGGGCTCCAAATCGTCCCGCTCTTCTGGCGGTAGCTACCATGCAGCTAGTGCGAATGTACGACCTGATGCTTGATGCAGACAATTTCGTGGAGGAACTCGTGCTTCCAGTTGGTAAGCAATCTTCAGGAAAAACTCCTTCAGTTATATTGCTTAATGATTTTGTAAAATGCGTTCGGATTTGCTTTTCCGAAATTTGTACACTGATGATGATTTCTATAGGAAATGTGGAGGATATCGAGCTGATTCACAGCCCCACCAATAATGAAATGTGGTTGATGGTGTTGAGTACTTCCGGTCATCTCTACGAACATAAAGTAAGCTCCTTTACAATTGTCATAATTGTACTCATCTTAATTCAATCTGCCTTTCTAGTTGATTGCTAAAACTGCGGATAATACGTCATTTTTCTTAACCAACACCGTCACGCTTCCTCATACTCAGCAATCGTTGGGGTCAGGAGTGTAAGTTTATTTTCTTATTGTACGACAGTCGTAGTTTACGTCCTCATTATCAGTGTTATTTGGTTGGATTAATTTCTTGTGGAATTTGAGTGTTAAATCTTACATTGTGTTATCACATCAAAGATCTTTCGAA